CACTGGGGTTTAAAGTGACAGGCGTGCACCATGTACACCCAATGGACTTTAACCGGGTCTGCAAGGAGTTCCCAGCTGTGTTCGATGGCATGCTTGGTTGCTACACGGGTCTCCTGGTTTCACTGGACTTGGACCCAACAGTCCGGCCCATCTGCATGAAAGCCAGACAGGTCCCCTTCGCATTGAGACCAAAAATTGATGTTGAATTAGATCGCCTGGTGGCCCAGGGGGTCCTGAAACCAGTGCTACACACCCCCTGAGAAACCCTGATAGTCTCACCTGTGAAACCGAATGGGGACATCAGGATCTGCACTGATTATAAATGTACTCTCAATAAAGTGCTCCAGGACCACGCATATCCCGTCCCCGTGGTCAGCCACGTCTTAGCATTCCTGGTGGGGGCCAAGGTCTTTGGGAAGTTGGATCTGGCCCAGGCCTACCAGCAGCTTCTGGTGGATGAGTCCTCAGCCGAGGCCCAAAAAATAGTCACGCACAGGGGGGCATTCAGGGTGCAGAGGATGCAGCTCAGGGTTTGTGTGGCCCCCGGCATCTTCCAAAATGTAATGGACTGTCTCCTTAAAGGCATCCCGGGGATCCAGCCATTCTTTGATGATGTTCTGATCACGGCACCATAATCAGAAGCATTTGCCAACCAACTGCATGAGGTCCTGCACCGTTTCAACACTGCCAGGCTAAAGGTGAAGTGTTTCCTCCGAGTGCCAAGGGTGGAGTTCCTGGGGTTTGCGATGGACACCCAGGGCATCCATCCCATGTCAGAAAAGATTCACGCTATCCCCTCCTCCAAAGTGGAACTCCAGGCCTTCCTGGGGCTTCTAAATTTTTACCATTCCTTTCTGCCCCACAAAGCCGCGGTCGCCAAGCCCCTGCACTGCCTCCTGGACAAAAACACTCCTTGGGGGTGGGGCCAGAGACACGCTGCTGCCTTCTGGGCTGTCAAGGACTTGCTGGTTTCCAATGATGCCTTGGCCCATTTTGAGAAATCCCATCTGGTCGTGCTTGCTTCTGAGGCTTCACCATACAGGGTTGGGGCGGTCCTGGACCATCAACTGCCGAATGGCCATGAGGTTCCCATAGCTTACTATTCCAGGACTTTATCTTTGGCTGAGCGCAACTACGCACAAATTGATAAAGAGGCTCTGGAAATCGTGGCAGGCATGAAGAAGTTTCATGATTACCTCTACGGCCGGCCCTTCACTGTTGTCATGGACCACAAGCCCCCCTTGGGTCTCCTTGCCCCGGACCACCAAACACCGCAAATGCTCTCATCGCGTGTGCTCCACTGGTCCATCTTTCTGGCCAGTTACCAGTATGCACTAGTTCACCGCCCTGGTAAAGCGATGGGCCATGCCGACGCACTCCGCCAACTTCCCTTGCCTTTCTGTGACCTGGACCCAGCTCCTGCTCACCAGATCCTCCTGCTTGAGGACTTGCTGGACTGTCTCATCCAGGTTGCCGACGTGGCCCACCACACCACTCGCAACTGCCTTCTCTCCCAGGTCCTGGACTGGGTGGGGAAGGGGTGGCCCACCAGCCGGGTGGGCATGGAATTCGTGGCCTTCTCCTCCCACTGGGATGAACTGTCAACACATAAAGGATGTTGGTTGTGGGGAAGCCGGGTGGTCATCCCCGCCCCACTGCGGCAGCGGGTATTCACAGCTCTAAACGAGACACATCCCAGCATCGTCAGGATGAAGGCGCTCATGCGGAGCTACATTTGGTGGCCTGGGATGGATAGTGAGGACTGCGTGAAGCGTTGCCAGACCTGCCAGGAATCCTGGCCGGAGCTGCCTAGGGCGCCGGTCAGACCGTGGGAATTCTCACATAAATCTGGATTTTGCAGGCCCATTCCAGGGACAAATCTTCTTTATACTGGTGGATCCTTACACCAAGTGGTTGGAGGTAGTACAAGTCCCCTCCACATCATCTTGAGCCACGAGATCTGGGCACTATGGCGGATCCTCAGCACCCATGGTCTACCAGACACTATAGTCACCGACAATGGGACTGCCTTCATGTCGTTGGAATTCAAGGATTTCACAGAATATTATGAGAATTGACACATATGATCTGTGCCCTTCCACCCTGCAACAAATAGCCAGGCAGAGTGCATGGTAAGGACTACCAAGGAGTTGCTGCGCAGACTCGCCCAAGGGGACTGGGAATACCACGTGGCCACTTTCCTGTTTGGCCAGAGGATGACCCCGCATGTGACCACGGGCCACTGTCCGGCCAAACTGCTCATGGGCCGACGCCTGACCACATGCCTCGACATTCTCCACCCTGACCGCACTCCTGAGAACAGCGCAGCTCCAGCTTCAGAGAAGGCACCTCGAGGTTTCTTCCTGGGGGACCTCGTGTATGCCCAGAACTTCACTCGGGGCCCTGCATGGATTCCAGCCAGGATGACCCTAGTCATGGGTCCCCTGTCCTATGAAGTGACTTCGGAAGAAGGACAACTGCTACGCCGTCACATTGACCAGCTATGCCGCCGACTTCTACCGACAGAAAGACAAGGACAGCGAGGATGAGATGCCGGAACTGGGAACCAGGGACAACAAGGAGGGCCTGCCAAGCACTCAAGCGCAACCATAACTCAGCACCCTGGCCCCCACAAGTGGCGACAGTCCTCCAGAGCCCACCACACCACCCGGACCAGCTAGTGAGCCGGATCCCCCAAGCTCACCTGAGCTTCCGAAGGACACACCGCAGCCCCTGATGGAAGCAACAGCTCCACCAGCAGAACCGCGCCATTCCAACCGGGAGCGACAGAGGCCTGCACACTTGCAGGACTATGTGTGCAAGGTCGTTCGGAACCATGAGGGGGAGGGGTGTTGTGTACCAACAAGAACTCCACATGCGCTCAGCCAAACATGTGGCCGGGTGAACAAGCGCAGCTTGAAGATTGAAAACAATAGTGGGCAAGGATCCTAGAGCAAGCCAATCGGCTACTCAGGATCCTACGCCCGACCTATGGGTATGGACACTATGTAAATAACCTATCAGAGGGAGCGGGGGGGTGTTGGGTGTGGTGTGCCTCACGGATTTAAGCAGGGCTCCAGTCCTGCTGTTTTTTGTCTTGAGTTGAGTGTCTAATAAACTATGAGCTGAAATCACTGCTCTGCATCTGAACCCAGTACTTTACAGGAAATATCCAGCTGTTTAGGAAATATGTTGCCTCTGACTACTTCATTTTTTTAGCCTTTTAACGTTTTTAGTTTTAAAAAGGGGAGTGGAAAGGTGCTGGATCTGCTGACTTTTCCATGGCATTTTCACACGTCCCCACAATCTGTGGATCCACCACACTGAACATTAACCAACTATCAGCCATGAAAGGTGGTCAGTTGTTTGGTCTCTGCCACCTGCAGTCTCAGATGGACCATAAAAGCCAGGAGATACATTGGTCTCCTAGTGGTGCCAGACATGGCAGGTCAGTAGGGGTGCAAATTCTTGAATTGAAAAAAACACATATTCCCTCAGTGGCCCTAGCCAGTTGGAGTCAAGGTACGTAAAGGGTGGGAGCAGTGTTCCCTCTAAGCTGAGTCAGTGTGAGCTAGCTCAGTTTTTTAGCCTCCCACTCACGCATTTTTGTCTTAGCTCAGGAAGGATGGCTTCAGAGCAAACTAATTTATGCAGCAGCCAAATTGCTCGCTCACAACTTTAATGCCAGAAGCTCACAAAGTAGAATTTTTGCTCACAAGACTCCACAGCTTAGAGGGAGCATTGGGTGGGAGGGAGGGAGGGGAGCTGAGTGATAATGAGGTATAGGGGATAGGATCAAGAGGGCATGTAGAGTCACTGGGTGGATAACTCATTAACAGTGCAATCTTAACAATATTTTCTTGGGAACAAGGCCCTGAACAGAATGCTGGCACTTTAGGTATCACTTCATTGGGATGACCACTCCATTTCACAGGGGGTCAGGTTAATGCAGAACTTTAAGTACCACTTAATTGGGATGATCACTGCATTTCAAAGGGGGTCAGGTATGTCTTCAAAGGGTCCTTTAAAAAGAATTTTGTCAAAGAGGTTCCAGAACTCTGTTCTGGCATGTTCCCCCAGGAAAAAAGCCCTGGGAATTGTCTTGCTCACAGCAACAGGCAAAGTTGAGCTTGTATTCACTTGAAGACGGCAACTTGGTTGTGCATTTAATATGATTTTATGTTATTATATGCGTCATGTGTGTAACTCTGTTTTAGGCACACCTCTCTTTCAAGGGGTCAGGTTATCCATAATTTACTAGAGAAGGGAGGATGTCTTTTCCAGATAGTAGATCTGCTAGCCCTGTGAGACATGGAGCATGCAGAATGTGTACCACTTACTGGAGTGTTTGCAAGTGACTGAAAGAGAAACTTGCATGAGATTGTGGCTTTTCTTCCATTATTTGTTGAGCATATAAAAAAAGCTGCGATCTTGCACAAGTCCTATTCTCTAATGTCACACTGTTCATACAAGCAGACCATTTATTTGGACAGGGTTTTGCAATAATTTATTATTCATGTAACTATACAGGTACATTGGTGTGATAAGAATGTAACGTTCTTTTACAAAACAAACCAACCCCACTCATGTATAGCAAAGGTCACTGCTAATTTGCCCTTCTAAGAAAACTGGACTTTAAAAGCTGAACTCAGGAGGCAATGGCCCTTGCCACACGGCAGGGAAAAGACGGGGCGAAGCGCGGCTTTTAAAAGCCGCGCCAAAAAAGAAACGCTCTGGCGATGTCAGGGGGTGTGGCATATGCAAATAAGTTATGCTAATGAGTTATGCTAATGAGCTCCTGCATCTCTTTTTCTACGAAATGACCCCTAACTGTAATAGTTGGGTTGATTCATATAGGAGTGCACAGTCCTTAAGATATGATATAACTATGTAACTTTCTTTAAGGTTCTGGGCTTATAAAAGCACATTGTACCACCAACCTATCACAATGTACAACAAAATATGATAAAGAACATACAGTTTACAAAAACAGATCCTACCTCATGTTGCCCGCCATGAGAAGACAGAGATTGTAGATGTGGGAAAAAATGAAGAGGAAGAGGATGGTGCTGAAGAACATTGTCATCCATGACCCGTGATCCTCTCGAAACATTTTCAGTCGAAGCAACTGACCTGCAACAGGGGGAGAATTATAAGGTAACGTTTATTTGCTTCTGGCAGACCTCCATTTCCATATGAAGCCCAATGACTGAATCAAAATCCAATAAACATGAAAATAAATGGTTTCAATGTGTCAGGCGGCCAATAGTTCCATTGTAAGGCTTGTCTAACGATACTATAGAATAAATACAGCACATTGTTTGGCAAACATGACTAGAATCCATGCTACATTACCTGTATCATTGTTCTGTTTAATTAAGAAGTTCCCATGAAACTTCTACAAAATGAGCCACAAAGAAATACATAAAATCATCAGATTGTACTAATGTTGCAATCCTAAACACAGTTACACCATTCTCAACCCACTGAAAAGAAAATGGTCAATATTATAAAGCCCCAGTATATATTTATTTGGAATACTGGATGCAGTTCTGGACAGTGCAAAGCTGGAAAAAGTACAGAAGAGGGCAATCAAGAAGATTAGGAGATTGGAGCACCATTCCTATGAGGAAAGGCTGAAGAGTCTGGGACTTCAGTTTAGAAAAGCAACAACTAAACAGGGACATGACAGAGGTTTATAAAATTATGCACAGGGTAGAGAAGAGTGGATAGAGATAACCTTTTCTCTCTATCCCAAAATATTAGAACTCGGGGGCATCCAATAACACTGATGGGCAGTAGATTCGGGACAGAAAAAAGGAAATACTTTACACAATAAGCGCTTAAATGTAGAATTTGCTGTCAGAGGATGTAGTGATGGTTATATGCTTGAAGGGGTTTAAAAGTGGATTAGATAGACTCATGGGGGATAGGTCTAACAGTGGCTACTAGCCATGGTGAATAAAGGGAACTGCAGGCTGTGGAAGGTCAGTAGTTCAGCAGTTCGAGACCCGAGTATGCCGCATGACGGAGTGAGCTCCCGTCTCTAGTTCCAGCTCCTGCCAACCTAGCAGTTCGAAAGCAAGAAATTGCAAGTAGATAAATAGGTACCACTTCGGTGGGAAGGTAACAGCGTTCCGTGCGCCATGGTGTTTAGTCATGCCAGCCACATGACCACGGAAACGTCTTCGGACAGCGCTGGCTCTTTGGCTTGGAAACGGAGATGAGCACCGCAACCCTAGAGTCGGATTCGACTAGCTTTTGAGCAAGGGAATCTTTACCTTTATACTTCTGAATACCAGCACCAGAATGCCTCAGCTTCTTTGCCCTGTTACTTTGTTGCCCTGTTGCTTTGGATTAAGCTCTGCTACAAGAGGCAGTACTAATAACAAACTGTCAAAATCACAATCTGCTCTGCCCTGAACTGGATAGCCCAGGGAAGCCTGATCTCATCAGATCTTGGAAGCTAAGCAGAGTCAACTCTGGCAAATACTTGGATGGGAGACCTCCTTGGAAGGTCAGGTGGTGGGGGCAGGCTTTATTCAGCCACTTCTCTGAATATCTTCCAGGCCCCCAGTAGGGGTCAGTCACCAGAGGTCGCCATGACTTCCAGGTGCACACACATTCACATGCACATATGGAAAATACCCCCCCCCCCAAAATCACAATCTTGTCGCTCACAGGGGACAGAAAGAACACTGGAAGAACAATGTCAGCTTGCAAATGGAACTCGGAAACAACCTTGGGCAGGAAAGAGACATCCGGGGCCAAGGTGAAACCATCATTGTGAAAAACTAAGTACGGTGAATTGCAACGGTGTGCAGACAAGTCGCTCACTTATCTTGCTGAGGTAATAGCTACCAGGAAGGTAGTTCCACGAGGTAAGTTCCAGGAGGGGGGTAGGGCCACGAGCCGGAGGGAAGAGGTGAGCAAGGCCCTTCAGGAACTGCTTTATTTGAGGGTGAGAAAAAATGGAATAGCCATCCACCGTAGGATGATTAGCGGAGATGGTGGCCAGGTACATTGTATTTAAAATGGCCGTCCGCAAAACACAAAAACCCTCTGTGAGATGGGTGGATAGTGATATGGAAATATGCGTCTTGCAAGTCCAGGGTTACCATCCAGACCAATGCTCCCTCTAAGCTGTGGAGTCTTCTGAGCAAAAATTCTACTTTGTGAGCTACTGGCATTAAAGTTGTGACCGAATGATTTGGCTACTGCATAAATTGGTTTGCTCTGGAGCCATACTTCCTGAGCTAAGACAAAAATGTGTGAGCCGGAGGCTAAAAAACTGTGAGCTAGCTCACACTAACTCAGTTTAGAGGGAACACTGATCCAGACGTCTTTGCCGAGAAGCGGGAGAATACTTTGCAAGGTTGTCATGTGGAATTTCCGATAAGAAATAAAATGGTTGAGTCCTGAGGTCCATAATAGGACGGAGGCCTCCGTCCTTCTTGGGGACTGTAAAATAACAGGAATAAAACCCGTGGTGACGTTGCAACATCGGAACTGGTTCTATAGCGTCCTTTTGAAGGAGATTTTGAATTTCTTCCAGGAGCGTGCTGGATGGTGGAGTAAGAACGAAATTGGGGGCCCCGAGCATCTGGATAAATTCTATGAGGTACCCCTTCTTGATAACAGAGAGCACCCACCGATCCGATGTTATTTGCTGCCAAGCAGCCAGGTAAGGGGATAGGCGGGTGGGGGGTAAAGGGAGATTATGAGAGTCAAAGGCTCTGCTTGGGAGCTTTAGGGGTCTTAGCTCTAGAGTGGGTGGTGGACGAAAACTTAAATTTGTGCCCATAAGTGTGAGAAGATGCAGTGGGTGACCATTGCCATTGCATCTCCGGAGAGGACTTAAGAGAGGATCTGCGGGACCATGATTTGTTCCAGGGTTTTGCCTGTTTAGTTTAGGAGCTGACGTGACCCCTAAATTACGAGATGTCTTAATGCTTTTGTCTAGATCTTGCAAGACAGTATCAGCTGTGGAACTGAAAAGGCCCTTACCCTCGAATGGAAGATCTTCAATGAGAGTTTTAGTATCCTGTGACAAGGCTGTGGAATGCTACCAGGCATGATGCCGGAGGGTAACTGCCGAAGTCAGTGTTTTGGCCGCCACATCCAGTGTGTGCTTAGCTGGTGCTTAGCCAAGAGCATGCCCTCCTTTTGAATTCTGTGAGCTTGACAGTTAAAGTCCTCGGGAAGGGCTGCAATAAATTCAGACATTTCTTCCCAGAGGGCAAACTGATATCTCCCCATACATGCAGTATAGTTCGAAGTCTTGATGCCAAGTGCTCCAGCAGAATAAAATTTTATTCGAAACGAGTCTAGTTTCCTTCCTTCTTTCTTGGGGTGTGTTTGCCTTTGGCTGTGTTTGCCTTTGGAAGAGGAGGTGAACATGATCCTAGCCTGAATTTTGAACACAGTCCATGCAACTATCTCAGGACTAAATCCAGACGTGATCAACTTAAATCCAAATGCTAAAATGTATACTGATCAGAAGTATGATTGCCAAATTGTCATATGCTGAATACTACAGTAGTGAGCACCTCTTTTTGAAAAACTGGAAAACAAATTCTTGCAACACCATTAACTGTTCAAATAATTTCTTTCATATGTCTCATGGAAGATAACTCCCTATTAAATATCTGAAAAACAGCAATATACTTTGGTTTCAACCTAACCTCTGTGGATTATACTTCTGCCTGTATTTAGGGGAAATGGGGAAATATATGTGATCACTATACCATCCAGGCTCAGATTTGTGCCCTAATGCTTGCAGTTTGGCACAGGTCACAGTCATTTCAAAACGATGCAATATGGAATTGATCAGAAACACTAGCTTTTAAGAGATTCAGTTTCTAAAGTTCTCTCTGGGGGTCTAACTGCTGACAGTCTGCTCACATGTATCAGAGTACCTGCAATCAAATGCAAAAGCATTAAAGAGAACTAGCTTGTAAAATCTAATATGATATTTGTCTTCTAATGTGAAGTCCCTGTTACTCGTTGCAAATAGAATTTTTTTAAAGACAATTTCTCTCCAAAATCTTAAAATGTAGAACTGAAAACTAAACCTTCTACATAGTGGTTTCCTTTGTCACCAAGCATGTACTTCCAGGCTGAGTCTGCCCTCCCAAGAAGTGCCATCTGGCACTCCTACTGCCAGCCCCAAAGCAAAAGGGGTGGTGGTGGCGGCGAATGAGCAGTACCTGTAGCAATTGAAGTTGGTGGCAGGCTACTCTCAGAGGGTCTTGGCTTGCCATCCTTTACTTCCTGATCACAGGGAGCATCTAAACAATGTATACATCAGAACTACCACCCCCACTGCCAAAAGTGTCATCCAATACACTAAAACTATCAACTACAATTTGAGTCATATTTGCTTCCTGGAGTTTTTAAAATCACCACTTTAATATACACAACATGAACATTTGATTAGCTGTTCATTTTTTCCCCATGAAAACCACTTCAAACATAAGAGGCAATTAAAAATAAAAACCCTTTCAATATACTATTGTAAAATGTATGGCCATGGCAGACAAAGTTTAACTTGTTTGGGGGAAGGGGAGGAGTCTGGAAACAAAAAAGTGGGGGCAAGCTCATGCTGTTAGCACAGTGCTTTCATACACAGTATGTGGGTTGTTGCTGGAACCACAGACCTACATTTATATGGAAAATATTGCAATTTGACAAGGCTGCAGATTTCTGGGAAGTTTAAAAAATGGCTTGGCATTCACAGTCCTGCACTACAGATAATTCCAGCATGTTTAAACAAGGTAAGGAAGATGCATTCTGTTCTATAAAGCAATTCTCTATTCCTTTTTTCTGTTGAACAGGTCTAGCAGTCATAGAAACATTTACAAAAATCCATAGGTTTAACCACTGAATAACTGAGAAATGTGCACTGATGTAATATCCACGGTCTAATTCAGAAAATTCTTATTTAGCCTAAATAATATATTTCTCCTTAGGGAATATTTCAGAAAAGCTCTTTGATTGTACTATTAGCAATATATTTTACATTGATTGTATTAAATCACATGTGTCAAAATGCTCCCTCTAAGCTGCGGAGTCTTGTGAGCAAAAATTCTGCTTTGTGAGCTACTGGCGTTAAAGCTGTGAGTTAGCAATTT